AAAGAAGAAATACGGCTCTCCGCAGTCTATCTGGAGAAAACATTATATATATATATTGATATCGGGATATACATCCTTTTTAGTCTTGATGTGAGTGGATCATTAGCGTAATTCAAGAAGTATTGCTCCCTGCCGGAGACCCACCGAAGTTCCCGTCAGACTAGCGGGATACTCGTAACGGTAAGGTAACATCCCCTCATCAGGGTGTGTAAGAACCGACCAAATGCGAAAACCAGGCCCGACGAACTGCGAAAACCAGTTACCGTTGTTTACCCCAGCTGAGCCTCGTGTGGCACGTCCGTAACGAGCCCCAAGACGATGAACCCCAAGACGTGGTGGTCGAGGGGAGATGGGTGACGAGGTTGAACTCATGGACTCGGAAAAAATGCGATGCTGATGACTTCACCACTGTAAATTTCGGTTGCCAAGCTTGTTGCAAGGTTTCGTGGTGATTCGAGCTGCTTAGGGTCTTCAGCGTAGGTTTCAATGAGTAGACCCAAATATCTTCAGCGTAGGTTTCAATGAGTAGACCCAAATAAAATCCTTCATCGACAATTGATCACGGACGAAACCTCTTGTCTCCGTTCCGTCAGGATGTTGGCTGAGTCCTGCGTCAGCGGCAGGCAGTGAATTTCACGAAGGTAAGGCTCTGGTATGTAAAAATCTTTTGCCCCCAGCAGGGCGCCTTGTCCATCTCTTCGGTAAACTATTACCTGACCCGCGTGTGAGTAGGGCTGCTGACGCACACGTTCCATTCCATTCCACACTTGGGTTAACGAAGACTGAGTGAGTTCTCGAGCCATCTTGGCGTTCAGACCATGTAGTGGAGCGCCGTCCAAGAAGTCGTCGAACAATATGGTGAAAGGTGGTGGTGGTCCCTCGTGACCTTTCATCTTAAGTAGTTTGTTGTCGGATGGTTGTGCAGAAGCTTCCACGATCGACGAGGAAGAAGACTTAGACATGCTGCGAGTAGTAGGCATAATCCCATACATATTGAGGGTCTCAAAGGGTCAGTTTTATATCCTTCGGGGGGGGGGGGGGGGGAGAAGAGGAGCGGAGAATCTCCGCAAGTTCCCGAGGGATCAGAGTACATGCAGTGGCTTACATGTTAAGCTGGGAAAGGAATGTGAGATGGAATTTTGTGAGATAGCCGAGCAGAGCAGGGAAGGCTACCAGATAAAAGCCTTGCAAGCCCTGGAAGCAAATGGTTTTTGAATGAGATTGTGGAAATAACAGAAAACTGCGCCGTCGGTGAGAAAGAGTGCATATTTTGTGAACATGACGCCAGCCTCAACTCGAATCTCGTTGAGCGCTGCCGGAGAGTGCATCCTCCTATGGTCAACTTGAATAGTAAGCAAAGATAGATAGGAAGAATGGCCCTCCTACTAATATTATCAACTTTTCGACTATACGCTCGAAGCTATAAGGGAAAAAGTCCGAATCCTTTCCTTCCTCATGATCTTCCATGGACTAGAAATCTCTAGAAGTCTTTCACAACTTAGATACGACTGACTGATCTTGACTGACGATATTATTTGAGTGCCAAGGGGTAGATGCCGCTCCTCGATGCCCATCTCCTCTCGCTTATCATCGCCTGTAATCAGCAGAATCATCGGAGCCAAGAATGCTGCATCGGATGGGTCACTATCGATCCCATTGCTGTTTAGATTATCTATAACTCTTTCAGTACTTAACTTTAATGCTGGAGCATCACCCGAAAAAAGACGCGCAGGATTTCTGCCCGAGTTATGCGGACTTAGATGTCAAACTCTACAACAACGGATGAGACAAAGAAGAAAAGATGTGGGCAAGGCAGTTGCGCAGTCCTTGAAGACTCTGTCTTTGCCATCAGTACGATCAGTGGTCCACTTGTTTCCGCGAGTATGGACAACAATGTAATGTACTAGGTTGATCGGAAAGTCATGAGAGAGTTCAGATGTTTTCTGTTTTCAGCAAATAGTGCAAGGTAATCAACAATATAATAACCATCGTTAGTTATAACACTGTCCCATCTATTGGGCAAGTCAGCTATTCTCTTCTCCCAGAACTGGGAAGATTGAGAGTCGAAGAAATCCCCGACCACTTGTTCAAGGTGTTTGCAGTTGGATTGTTTTTTTTACTAGGAAAGCCTTGGGGGGCCGGAACAAGTGGTAATCTGAGGGGCAATATCAATATACCCGTTCTTCTCGAACGGCTTTCGCAAGTTTCTGCGGAAGTCAACGATGTCTCGTGAGAAGATCCCCAACGATACTGTAAATGACATCGAAGAATTGTCTGGCTAGGATTCCGTTAAACAGCACAGAACTCTCCTAACCGACACACTCATTCAGATTCTTAAGTAATCAAGGACCGGTTGGGGTAAGAGGATTCGGTAGTGGAATTTGCTTCGGCCAAGAAGAAGATCTCACATGGAGGACCAGGAAAACTATTCTCCTAAATTTTGAGGATTCAAATCAGCAGATCTGCAGCAGTGATGTGAAAGTCACCCATCGGTCTGCAAGCAATGCTTGGAAGACTCACGGTAAACATCGAGCAGACAAGTAAGTGTGGTTCTAAGACGATGAAGTTCAGCGACTTGTAAAACAGAGTAAAAGTGCAGACAATGTAAAGAAATGTTCCGGGAGGTTCCCTCTTTTTCTCTGGTGTTGGCGCCTCCTTCTCGAATGTCACAGTTAACTACACTGAGTACGAGACCCTGTCACGAAATCTTCCCTTGGAATGAAATGATGGTGTCGTGCTTCTCAAAGTTTATGTTTGCGTCCAAGCGGAGTTCACACTCATGTCTTATCATCCTACTTACTATAAAGCGCTTCGTCTGTCGTCTGTCATCTGTCGTTATGTATGTCTGACACGAAATTCCTTAGTTCCTTCAGATCTGCCTAGAGAGACTGGGTCAGGCGTGGGATGAGTGAGCCATGTCCCGAGAACTATAAAGCAAACATCAGCCTATAGGAGATCCACCCACAGTGAGCGTGGCATGCATCGAAATGAGCTGCACTGAGAAACATGATTTCAAATTCAATCACAAGACCGCTTCGAAACTGGGGTGCAAAGGTGGCTAGAGGTGTTTGATCGAACTAGGGAAACCCGACCCGATAGGCAGGCGTTCTCTGATATTGCAATGCTTATGAAAACATTTATAACTCGGTTTAGAGGAAGACAAGATGTAGGGGAGTCATTGTTGAAGGTGTCTTCAGCATAAATAACGTCAGCGGAGGCCCGTCCACAATGAGTGTGCCCCGTAGCTCACATCATTTCTTTCAGATCAGCATATTTCAGCTCTGAGAAGCCATGAAAAGCTGGAAAAAGATGGATAGAACTCGGAGAAGAAGGGGAGGCTGATGCCTCCCCTTCTTCTCCGAGTTCTATCCATCTTTTTCCAGCTGGTGGGAGTGGCCCGCGCAAAAGGGGAATCTGCTAGCAAATTTATAACTCGGTTCCACGAAGTCTTGGAGGCAGAAAAAATAGTGGTCAGGGACCTGCAACGGCAGGGAGGTAAACGGCCTTGGGCCGGAGTCGCGCGCACAAAAGTGGGCGGAGTTTGCGACGAAAATTCATGTTGGTTTCAAGATGTCCTGGAGACGGGCAAAAAAGTGGAGAGGTCAACAAAGGAAACAAAATCGGGCATGTACAAATGTGGGCGGAGTTATCCATGAAACACTATAACTCGGTTTCACTATATATATTTACAAAAATCATATATCTATATACAAAGCAGTAACTTTGTGTGTCTGTTTGTATGCCCGTTTGTGCTTCCTTTCGAAAGTCATGTAGGCACGACGAAGAGTGTGAATGTCACGTGGGCGCGGTGAAGGAACAGATATGAAGTGGGAGTTCAACCAGTACAGCTTATATTGGTGCTCTAATAATAATCGAGTTACTAAAACACACAGAACCTAAAGAGGTTTCTTCATGGCGACGGAGCGCGCACGAACTGCGTTGGGTGTTTGTGTTTGGCCGGGAATTAACAACTCCTGTTCTCATCTACCGAAGCCTCCAAATTTGAAAAAGGTGCAGGCAGAAGGCCATTTTAACACGAGTGGGAGGGGAGCCCGGCGTCAGCCGGGCGAGCCACTGGTTACTAAATATAACAGCGAGCCTTCCGAAGTTAACAGTTGCGCTCATTTGTCGTCGTTTTGCATTTGGATATCAATAATGGAACCATTGCCAACTTATTAGGTGTATCGCTTGATTGCCAACTCTTCACTCCATTTTCACGGACCATGTAGCGCGGCGACGTGTTTCCCTTCTGTTTCCCCGATGTGTCGCTAGGGCATATTTCTCTTGGAATGAGTGCAGTGAAAATATCCACTGTATTAAGATACGATTAATAGGAAATAGTCCGGGAATAGCGCCGTAGAAGGGACGTCTGGAGAGAGTGAAAAAGACATGAAAATAGGACGCTATAAAGAATAGATGTCTTGTCAGATAGAGAGGGTTTGCTTATTACATGTTATTTTGTGAAGCATTTGTGAAGCCAGTAGATTACATTACGTAAAGGAAAAAACAGTTAGAAAACGATGCAAAAGGCATACATCAAACATAACTGGAGTTGAGTATAATACACGGTGGGCCAAAATTATGATTACACAGAGCAAACCTAAAAAAGCTAAAAAAAGCGAAAAAAGCAAACCAATTTCATAAAAGTGTCTAACACTAATCTCTTATCAAAATAGTACATTGAGACTGGGATCAGTTGCTTTCTGCTTTCACCGAACCCCAGAGACGATGATGGAAAACATTAGCGGTGACACGCAGCCAAGGTCATCGAGTTGATCTCAGCTTTTTGCAAGGCATTTTCGAGATTATTTCACTTCTTGTTTGGGCTAATGGTTGCTCTCATCTCAAAAGCTGACCACACTGAGACATCCATGGGATTCAGGTCAGGGCTCCAGAGTGGTCACTGATCGAAGGTCATGGAGTCAGGGAACCCCTTTTACGGAATTACTAGACAATTTCTGATCTGCAGTTAGGAGCATCATCTTGACAGTATGTCCGGTTTGAATCGCCAAAGTGTCCTTTTGCGCACGAAGATATCGAACAGGTCTCCAAATCAAATTTCACTCCTTATTTTACAAAATAATCGGTGCCTTTGCCACGGCGGTGACGCTCGCAAAGGATATCGCAGAAAGTGAGCAAGCCTAGCGCTGCATCACTTGAATTTCTTTCAGCTTTATACAAGTCTTGTAGCCCTGCTTACGGGGCACCTTTTTCACCACGAATATCTTTTCGACGGTGAACAGGAATCGCGTACGATAATGTTTTGTATGCGGCGTGGCAGCTTCGGTGAGCCAACATTTCTCTTCTTTTTAGCCTGCTCACTGGGGAAATCATTTTCTGATCGTATTAAGGCCTTGTCGTGCAGATGATGCCGCACGATTTCGCGCAGAAAACTTCATGAGATATCAATTCATTTGGTCATTTTGGGCTCAGGATGAACTTCGCTACTACGCAGACCTTCGCCCTGCTTTAGTAAAACTCCCACCAAACATAACCGCAGGCCTTTTAGGATTGCCACTCCTATCTGCAATTGTTCCTTACTCTCGAAAGCGTCTTATAATCGACTGTACCCCCTGCCTTGTTACGTTGAGTCGTCTGTAGATGCACCGTGCCAAAAGTGCTTGTAATTGCAAAGTGACAATTTATTCACAGGGTAATTACGCTTACATTTTTTTGAAAATCCACCAAAAGTTTAGTATCATCAGGAAGGTAGTAGCGTAATCTACCTTGTGAAATAGAAGAAAGCGAACAAATTGCTACGACCCCAGAGAAAATTCGTTATGAGCGTCAGCGCGCGCTGTAATCATAATTTTGGCCCACCCTGTACAATCGGCGAATAGGAGACTGTGGATTGAACAAAACGGGAAAAGGCTAGCTCCAAGCCGTAGAGTACGGCTGACATAAGATTTGAGAACGTTTATGGATATAGGTATAGGAAGCAGACTTTGCTTGGTGAGCTGGTTGAATACTGACCCAGCACGATCAACAAAAAAATGATGCTTGAGGTCGGAACGAGCTGCATAGAAGTGCAGCTTGCGATGACCTTTTCTGGGGCCCGAAGGTAGAAGTTGATAGAAATCGGAGCTCCGAAGTTCAACTTCACCATCAGAATTTTGGTGACCATGACAACATCATTAAATTTTCTTCTAAGCGAGAGAGATTTGAGCCCTAGCGCTTGATTGCGATACAAGGAGGCACGCACTGGCAAGTAAGAGAACCCAAAGAAAAGAAGGAATAATTTTCGTGTGAAGTTATTCCGGACTGATCCTAGTCGTTTTATGCAGAGCTGTTTTGAGGGGTTGAACACTGTCGTCCCATACTCTAACAATAGTCTGACGCAGGTTTTGTAAGCGGCGAGGAGAATTTTGGGATTTGATGGCAAAAGAGCTTTGAACAAGTTATAAATTCTATTCTGAGCGCATTTTGTTCGCAATAATTTGTGGATTCAAGCTTTTCGTTAACGAGAAAACCTAGATCCATAGTTGACTATACGAAATTGCAGAAAACGGTTAGACGGGCTTGCGGGTAAGAGATGAAGGGCGCAATCTCTTTGACAAACTTAAGAGGAATGCTGTCAGGCGTAACGGACAACGAAGGAGGCCAACGCTTTAAAATTAGTTCAATCTCTTCTTTGTAATATCACAGATTAGGGGGCATAGGAGGGAACTAGTAGAACCGTGAAATGAGCTGATTAGTGACTGGACCGAGAGTATATACTAGCGGTATGGTTCGCAAGAACTTCAGCTTTGTTTTTATGAGTGAATGCAATTCCTCTGTCATGATATAAACTTTGAATACGAGATTCGTCTTTGAGCATAGAACTTTGACTACGAGATTTATCTTTGAGCTTAGAACGTTGAATACAAGATTTGCCTTTGAGCTCAGAAAGCTTGTAAAAGCCAGAAGTTTTGCCAGCTTCCAAACTTTTTTCTAAACTGTGGCATTGCATTTTTCAATAACTTTAGAAACTTATAGTTACCCATCCTGTAGAGCTTCCAGTCCTCACTACTATGGCTAGAAGCGGCCTTAATCCACAGCTGCGCACGACAGCGACCAAGGTACTGAGATATTGAGGCAGCATCAAGTTAATGGACGAGATTCTGAAGTAAAAAGACGGCTCTGAAGTCGGTACGTTTCAGAACAAGGCCGTACTCAGGGGAGTGGCAGTCTATGTGACCTCCTATTACCGCACTTACACAGTGATGGTCACTATTGCATATGGAGGGGTGTAAGCATACGTCCGACACAATAGCATCACCATTGCTGAGAATGAGATCAGGGATATCATCTTCAGTGTAGGCTCACGTCCTATTTGAGAGTAGTTGTAGGTTTCACACATTTCAAGAAATGATTTGGAAAATGAAGTCGTACAAAGACAACCACGCGCCCGTTGTATATCTGGAAGGTTAAAATCACCGATTACAATGGAGGGATGGTCACATGTCGACAGGTCACCAATGCATTTAAATGAACAGCTAGATGAATTCGCGGGGCGGAGCGGAGCTCTATGAACTATTATTAGCTGAAAAGAAGAAGAATTGAGTGGATATATGTCGCAAGCAAGAATCTCACATCCACCGCTGACAGATTCACTGAAAACGACGGTTTGAGAAAACGACGGTGTGATGAAGTTCCTTACGTAACACCACCGCAACTCCTCCGCCCTTCTTTCGATTTTGATCACATCTGATGGTATTGTAAAAGTTACAAATGTCACTCAAAAGAGGGGAAATGCCGTTAGCCTGTTTAAGCCAAGTTTCAGTGATGGCGGCAATCAAAATAGAGGTAGCAATAAGGTGGAACATAAATGCATCCGCATTTTTTAGGAGGGGGTCTGACATCAGCTAAAGTAAACGAATCGGAGCGCCTGTTGAAGAATAATTCTCCGGGGATGCTTTAGCCGTTTTCCGATGACAAAGTGAAGTAGTATATACAACAGGCGGAGAGTCATTGTGAGCGGATGAGCTTCGAGGCGAAGCATTGATGGGTCGCATATCGGAAGGAGGCGAGGAACGTTTTGGCTGAGGTGCATTTCGAGGAAAAGGCTCAACAAGCATGACGTAGGCTTCGTTCGCCTTCAGTTAGTGATGGGCGAATATAAGCGAATTTGACTTGGAAATTACGAAGCCTAGGTGCTCGCTTTAATAAAAGTGATTGGAACATAGTAGACGGCAATACAATCTTGAGCAATCGGGGGAAACCGTTGCGCTGCACCCCCCCCCCCCCATTCTATAACATAACACAGGCATACATTCTATATCGAGGTAACAAAAAAGTTTCTTAACGCAGTCAATGTCATCATTCAAACGAGCAATAACATTACTGTCAGCACACTCAGCAATACCACTGACGACTACGGATCGAGCACGCTCAGACTCTTCGCAAGGGATGAGTTGCTTAGTGGACCCGCAACTGTCAGAATGGGAGGGATTAGCAGTCGAAATAACTGAGATGAATTTGAGTACCCGTATCTCTTCTTTCAGCTTGTCATTCTCGGCGATGAGTTCTAAGCAAGCTTCCTCAGCATCTCCAACTCACGATCTTTGCTCATGACGCTGTCTAGTAGATGGCCAATAATTGTTTAAAGGTGTGCAGGCACTGTTGGATCTGAAGATAACGAATTGATCGCGTCCTGCAATCCGTGATCATCGGCCTGCATAGTCGGCGACACATCAAAATTCATCCAAGATCACTTGGCTCCCTGAAGGGTGGAGGCAGATGGGTTGCTCATCAGTGAAAAATACAAGTGAAATGACCTCCTAAGGAGGCAAACGAACAAAAAGAGAAGTGGCTCCTGTTATGGGAAGCCTCACGGAATCTGCCCGAAGATAATAACGGTGATCACTGAGTGATCGATTGACGACCAGAACACCGATGCACAGGCAAAAAATCAAAAAATCCGCAAAATAGACCTGAACTGGTGGCTATACGGCAAGAACTGGCAGCCACAAGGGCGACAGCTTGGACAGTAAGTAACAGATAGTAACAGAAATAAATGACGTGCCGGGTTGCATTCCAAGAAGTGTCGAGGGAGCCTAGTGAAGCCGCCGCTCGGTGTCGATGCACACGATCAATCACAAACTTGGTAATTGAACCAGGGTGAGGATTCTAACTAGATAACAGAAAAGACCACTGATAGTGGTCAATTCAAAGAAATGTGGGGTGGAGGCCACAACTTGCCGTGCAGATTTCCAGAATGATTTCTATCTTGGAAATTCAGAGCAGTGCATTAGTATTGGGTTGTCCGAAAAATTTCCGCTGATTATCGACACCCCGGATTTATCAAATGTTGTACATAACATCAAGGACCCAACCCCATAAAGTTATATGTTCCCTGAAAGAGTAGGTCCTCCTCTATATTTCTGTTGGGATTCTGTCAACATTTGACTGCAAAAAGCACCTGAGAGGGTTTTTCGATTTTAAGACTGTGGCCTTTAATGGAAGAGGGGAACTGGAACCTACAGGAAGGTGGTGAATCCTGACTGAACAGAATGGAGACTATATAGTTCAGTCAATGGATTTATTCTTCTAGGAATTTTCATTCAAGGATGAATCAAAAATCGGCGGAACTTTTCGGACATCCCAATACATTGAGCGTGTAAGCTTATCCAACTGTGCTGTTTTACCCTATAAAGAGGATGCACAAAAAGGCAACTCTCATAAGATTACACTGCGAACTTTCTTTGGGTAGTGGGCATGTACTGATTTACAGTATTGCTAACAGTATCAAGATTTTCGGGCATATGAACAGCAGGAAACAGATGGGAAGCAGTGGGATACGTAATGGCCTGTGAATCCCATTGCACCTCGCCTAGGCTGCGGAATCCACGGTCCTTCGCTTCAGGTAACTTAAATTGCTATAATTTTGTGTCTTTCAAAATTTTCAAGTGCAGCTTCTCGACTTAAGTTTTCATTAGCACTGGAACATTTCTTTTGGCTATAGCCCAATCAAAGGGTAAGTGAGTGTGATATAATTACATTAAGGGGATCCTTGCAGGCATTGTTCCTCGAATGGAGCTGCAATACTTGATAAGATGGCAGTTGAAAGTGGCTAGTAAAACACGCGGAGTGACACATAGACTTCATTTTGTCTCATACTATTAGGTTGTAGCAAAAAAATTGCGAATGTCATACCGTAAGATTTCCTGTCAAAGGTTTTATTATACAAGTGCGCGAGCGATCGTACAGCCGTTCCTATATTACCAGTTGGGCTACGCACGCTAATGCGTGCATCACATGTCCACTACCGCTTACCTACGACTTGGTAGAGGATCAGTATGAACAGTATCGGTTGACTTTCCATTTCATAACTGTTTCCTCACCGCGCTCACGTTACATTCAGACTCTTCGTCGTTCCCAAGTGACTTTCGTAAAGACGCACAAACGGACATGCAAACAGACAAATAAAGTTACCGCTTATACGTTACATAGAGACAGTCGGACCGCCCGGCCAACGCCAGGCTTCCCTCATTCTTATGATAGAGTTGTGATGAACGGCAAACAGCACACTCCTTTTTTTGGAACGAATGATACTTTTCGGAACACGAAGTTCGGTAGAGGAACAATAGTGCATGCAAACGATATGCAAAATGTTCCGATGCCTGCGCCTTTGGTTAGAATCTGTCTGTCTCGAACTGTCGCTGTTGATGTTAAAAATAACGACCCGGAAGATTTAACTAGTATTCATTCAAAGCCTTGAATGATACTCACAAATGTTGTCCAGTCATAATAATACCATTATCAAATATCTTTATGAATGTAGCTCCTTTTCTCTACGGATACATCATTAAATGAGAATCCAAGATTGTTAGCGGTCGGATACGTTTTGCCAAGAATGATATCAAAGCAGAAAGAAATCGTGATCCTTCATCAGATCGCAAACTTCGCCGGGTAGCGGTCGTAAGCAAGAAGCAAGAAGTAACCAAATTTCAAAGTCGGACCCGATCACTTACCCTTTTTGTCGAATGGAACATATCAAAGAATCAAAGCTAAATCGTAAATAACAAAGGCGCTAAGATTCCATTGGTGGTTGGATCTTGTTCTCTAGACCTCCTCTATCGTCAGTGTTCCCATCCTGCTCCCTGTATTCCACGAGATGAGAAGTAATGAGTTTTCGCTCAGACATTTCGCACAAATCCCGCTTCCACTGGACGGAGTCCGGTCCTACTACCCACCATAGGTGTTCGCATACTGCCGACTGCCTTGCTACCAAGTTTGAGCGCCATAGAGCCAATTCGCGCACATCCCGCCTTCTATGGACGGGGTCCGGTCCTCCCACCTACCCTAAGTGTTTCCATCCTGCTGTCTATACTCCATATACTCCTGCCAAGTTTGAGCGCCCTAAAGCCAAATTGACAATTTGGCGCAAACCCCTCTGTGGCCCGATCCTGCCACTCACCATCAGTGTTCTCACCCAACCTCGGGTACTCTTACAAAATTTGAACTTTCTGGGTCCACTGAGACAGGAGTTATTATTTTCCACTTAAACATTTTGTTTGCACAAACCCCGCCCCCTGTGGGCGGAGTCCGGTCCTCCTACCACCATATGTGTTCCCACCCTGCCTTGGATACTCCCACCTAATTTGAATTTTCTGAGTTCACAATGACAGGAGCTATGATTTTCCAGAGAAACATTTATTTTGCACAAACCCCACCCCCTGTGGGCGGAGTCCAGTCCTGCCCCCATCCTGCCGCCTATGCTCCTACCAAATTTGAAAGTCCTAGGTCCACGAGGACAGGAGTCATGAATTTCCGTACAAACAGACAGACGGGCGGACAGACAGACAGACGCTTTATATAAAGTAAGGATTTTGAAGATCTGTTCTCTGGCTTCAAGATAAGATATAAGCTTTAACTGATTCTTCACTGAATATTTGCGAATCTACGTGATCTTGAATAGCCTGAGGATAAGTGCAATTTCCGCGTCACTAGTTCAAATTAAGCCGAAGCTACGAGTAGTAGTAATCGTATCCATGCGGTTTGAAAATACCAGTCACCAGAAAGGGGCCTATACTGCTTAGGGCCGCGCAAGACCACATATCCGGAGAGGTCTTCTCCGGAACTTAACCCTCGGTCGCCGAGGACAACGATGTTGAGCAAGGAAGAAAAAGACGATAACTTCTTCAGATAACGAACGGTAAAGTGTTTGATGACGCCTTTCCCTACTTGGAAATGTTATTGTGAAATTCAACATGATTTATGGGCTGCTGCCACACCCCACTGTTCCATCTAGAAGGCAGCGTCTTATGAACACTGAATTTTGTTTGTCACAATGCTCCCGGTAAACCGCACTTCATTTTCACTTCAAAGTTGACCTCGATTCGATTATGGGATTTGGTACAGATATTTCCGATATTATTATGCCTCACTTAAAATTGCGGAAGCTTTCCGATCTGGTCGTTCCTTCCCGAACACGCCAGATGCTCAACTTCCACGGGAGGAGATTTAAGAAAAGTACAAGACACAATCAAAACACTGTGTAAATTTTCAGACTTAAGTCACAATCACAGTTATTTATTAATGCTTAAGAATTAATCGCAGAAAAGTAATCACTGGGTTTTTTCTACATCTGGTTTTCGCGTGGTCTTCGTAAATGGACGTCGCCAGAGAACCTGTAATAAGAAATACTTATTTGACAACTCGTTCTGCATAAGTGCGGTGTCATCATACGATGCCAGGACGTTCCCCAATTACTATTGAGCTCACAAGCACTTTCAACGCTCAACTCTGCCTCCTCTTTGTTTGCAATCATACCCTCTTTCCGTCGTCTTTTTTCTTGTCTTCCTTTTTTGCTGGCTCTTCCTTCTTCTTTTTGTCAGCCGAAATCTCTTCCTTTTTCTTCTTTTCATTTTTCTTTGTGCTTTTCTTTGGTTGTGCACTTCCCTTTCTGTTGCCACTTGATAAATCCTGCGTGGAAGGAGTAACTGAAACTTAAATAGTAGTGTAAAAGTAATTTTTATATTGGGGAAAATCTTCAAGTATAGGTACCGGGACTCTGAGTCAGCTCTTCCCGCTCTTCGTGGACGTTGGTGATGATTTCGGTACGCTGAGCTGGTGATAGTGCGACCGGATCCTTGGAAACTTGGGCTCGAGCTTCAGAAATGTCCATCTGAAACTATTGGTGTAGCATAAGTTAACCGTTGTGGGTGGGCCTCCATCATGTTCAGGGAGTCGGACACTTTTCCCCGAAGTTCTCTCCTGAATTGTAGTTGTATGACGTATAACTTTATTGTGATATTTTACTTAATAGTGGTATTATGCAGAGACCTATCTTCCGTTTACTGGATTCTGCACTAGCAAATCTCTCTAAAATCTCCGTATCTCTCAATTCGCGAAAACACTTGTGACGTACTTTAATATTATGCTCAGGAAAGCGTTCCCGTTGTTCTTTCAGGGCTTGGATAACAGCATCGTTCACATTCACAAACATCCTGTTTTTTGGCACTTTTTGATAGAAGTCGGTTGTTTCAAACAATTGACGTACTGCCACTGAAATTCACCTTATTTATCAGTACATCGGTGTTTTACACGAACTGTGTAAGAGAGGAAAAGCATCAGAAACTATTTATTTATTTACTGAGCTATTGTTGAAGTGACATACAACGGTAAGGTTCGGACTAGCGTCAGAGTTACAATAGAATAGAATAATGTATAATATCCCATTAACATGAAATAGAAAGGAAAACGGAAAAACGAAAGAAAACTAGTATTGTACACAAAACCTGTTCAATTAGGGGGAACCAAAGAAAGGAAGAAGGTCGTTAGTGATGATCTGCAACTCCTCTATATTGTCTGATTGGAGGTTTTTTTGAATCTCAAACATCTTTACTTGTTTTTACTATCATAAACCTGCTATTACCGTGTACTTTTTCAGTGATGGCAGTTAAGCTTCAGGCCTCAGCGCCTTCGTTGTACCCCGGTCTTCCATAATTGTAGCTAGTTGCCTTTGTGTTCATCGATATACCCACCGGCTATGCGATCCGCATGCCCATTTGCCTAATAGACTATCTAGTAGACCAAACTGAGTTCTGCGCAGTGACCTTATTCGTCAGGAAAATGATGCAGCCACCTGTTAGCGCTCAATCGTGAATTTCGATTCATCTTCAAGCTTAATGCTACTTGATGTTGTTGTTAGAAATGTTTATCAAGTAGACAACAGTACCAAACTAGCTGACAATACTTTACTGTAATGCAGCACCATTGTTATCGGACTCATAGAAAGGCATGGTGATAAAATGTTTCAGTTCGCAGGTCACCCCATACTGGCACGCTACCTTCTAGGACATCGTGGTATCGTACAGCCATTCATAGCATTAATTCACAGCTCGAACGCTGTAATCCTTGTAAACAGTTTCCACTTGCAAAGAAATACTAAATACCATGCGTCGGAGAGCCTTAAAACTGATTGGCTGCTTTCATGGTCCGCCGGCCGGCCGGCCGGCCAGCCTGCAGGCGGAGGCAGTGCTAGGGGGGAGGAGGAAGGCAGACAGACGGCCAGCCCCTTCGAAGGGCTGTAAACAACGAGAGACAAGATCAAAGACCAAACAACCAAGGGCTTGAACAAATGGTTTTTGATCTTGTCTCTCGGTTCTTGTCCTTTCCGGGGACCGTGCTCTTATCCCTTACACTACCGAGACCCCGCTTGCCCTCGCCTTCTTAATGGCTTATATGCCATAGCTTATCAGCACTCACACGTACAACGTGTTGAGCCGGTCGGCCGATATCAGCACAGAACCGATAAGCTGTAAGCTTTACATGATAGTACTTGTTTTGACTTGATGTTTTGTTAACTGCTGTTTTAACGCCGCAGTGC